GTAATGGAATGGATTTGGGGAGGTGTGACATTTCTATGATACTGTCTTCCCATCCAAGATCATGGTACATCTTTCTATTTGTTTAGATCTGTGTTCTTTCTATGAGTACAAGGTTGTATAGTTTTCTTCATATGGGCCCTATGTCCTTCTTGTTAAATTTATTCCTGAGTATTTTGTAGCTTTTGTCAGTATTGTAAATGGCATATTTTTTCTATTTCCATTTCTATGTGTTTATAAGAAAAGCAATTGGTTTTTGTATATTTAAGTTGTATCTAACAACACCATTTTTTCTTAATAATTTAAGTAGATTTTTTTCTTTTGTTTTGCATTTATTTTTGTTTGTGTGGGCTAGAGTTTCTTAGTCTTTCTAGATATACAATAATTTAACTGCCTTATTTTCCCATAATTCCCTTGACACTCTCACCACAGTTGCATCTGACTACAGCCATGGCTCTCTTCACCTGGCCTGCACCTGCATTGCAGGGATTCCCACTGCCTACCACAGAACTCCTTTTCCCATCTCCTTTCTTTTCAAAACCAGTTCCCTGTTTCTCTGGTTTACAGGAACAGAGTGGAAGCCGGGGTCGAGGAGAGCTGAAAATCACCGCTACTTTCTTCCACAGAATGAATTTGTTCCACCCTAACTGGAATTCTTTTCTCCTTCTAGAGCAAAGGTTCAAAACTGGTGGATCACGGGCCAGATTTAGCCTTCAGACATGCTTTATTTGGCCCACACAGTGGTTTATAAAAATTTTGGTTCGTTGCCAACATTTAAAAATTGGAAGAGTTGTTTGTATGGGAACATAGAAAAATCTGGATTTCTGATTTTTCTTAAAATCCTGGAAAATCTGAGAAACTGGGTTCTCAGCCTATAGGACAATGAGTAGCAGGAGCCATGAAATTGCATTTCCCATGTAGACTGTGAGCGCCTCAGAAGCAGGGAGTCATCCTGTTCCTTCTGTGCCCCCAGCATCTGACTCGGGGCCTGGCTCCAGGCAGGGGTTCATGTAAATTTGATTCCTTTCCTTCAGTATCATGCACAAGTTTTAAAGACATGCGAGTTGACCTATACAATAATGGTTCTGAACTCTCTTGCGCCGTGGACCCTGCCGTGGACCCCTTGGCAGTCTCAGGGAGCCCATGGACAGCTTTTCAGATTAAAGTTTTATTTTAATTCATAAAATAAAAAAAATACACATACTTACAAAGGAAATCAAGTATATTATATGCAAATTATCAAAATATTTAAAATAAATTATTATTTAGTAATACATATTGTTTATTAGCACATTAGATAACAAGATCTAGCAGCAGGTCTAGCAACTACTGTAATTTTGAAGCACTGATATTTTGAGAGATCTGCAACACTCAGTTATAGCAAGGTATGAAAACATCTGGGATTTCTGTTGGGTACAGGGCTGCTAAAGTCACAGGTACTGCTAATACTACAGGGATTTGTGGCCTACACTGTAGATGGAAAGAATGGTTATGTTTCACTGAAAGGCTAAAGATAAAAATAAGGATGTAATTGTTTTCTCAACCAGGTTCACAGATTCCAGGAATTCTATGCACGGGTCCCATGCATCTCAGATCAAAACCTCTGCTCTTGGGAGAAGGTGCTAATGACAGCTACAACTGAGCCACAGTAACAAAGAAACATCATCCCATAGAAACCACCCCAGTCTTGGGTGTTCTCATTCAGGGCAGGGTGTACATTAGATCACCTTTTTTGGAGGACTCTTTGGCAATATGTTCCAAGAATCTTTAAAATGTGCTGCTTTAGGCCAGTAATTCTGTTTCTAGGAGCTTATCCTAAGGAAATAAAGATGCAGCCAAAGAAAAAATTGAGTGTGAAGGTATTTATCATAGCCAAAGACACAACCAGTTTTCGTGGAGTCAGAAGTTTATACAATTTGAGGGCCCCTTTAACACAAAGAATACAAAATTATGAATATATTAAATAAAATTGCTGGGTCCCTTCCAGGCATTTGGAAAGGCCCTGTGTAAATGAGGGGCCCTTCATTAGCTTCACATAAATTCACCCCAAACATAGCATTATTAATAATCACCTAAAATTAGAAACAACCTAAAGCAGCCAACCACTGGGGATTGGTATAATAAGTTGTAGTGTATCCATACAAGCGAATACTAATCCATCATTTTAAATGATGTGAATGTAGAGGTCTATTTACTAACATGGAAAGATGCTCAAAACGGAGTATGAAGTGAAAAAAGCAGATTATGAAATGTTATGTGCAGTAAAATCCCAGTTTTGTTAAAAATAACATATTATTTATGGGCAATGGGAGGTTAAATGGGGCTTTTCGTGTCTCAGAATGGCTGCTGCACCCCAGAGCCCCCAGGGCAGCACCTGACACAGCCCAGCAGGACTCAGGCAGGTTGTGATGTCCTCTCCCATCACCTGCTTCCAGAGCAGGCAGTGACCCAGGAGAGGAGGGGCCCTGAGGCCTTCCTTGGGGACAGTCATCTCAGCGCTGCACTTCACCCCACATGGCTCAAGCCAAGCAACTGGGGCTTCCTAGGACACAGAGCTTGACTCACCTCTCCCCTGGAAAAGTCTAAAGATGAGAGGCCAGTAGGAGCTCACCCTGGTGGTCGCACGAGGGGTAGGGGCTGCAATGGGAGCTGCCCATGCTTGCAGAGCTTGACAGCAAAAGAGAGGAACGTTTCCTGTGGGTTTCAACTGGACGCAGTGCAAGGTAGCCGGGCATGAGCCAGCATGAAAGCTCAAGAAGTCCACCCTCCAGGGCAAGGGGACCCCTACAGAAGGACCTCCCCTTCAGCAAGAGTGAAGGGGACAGCACAGGTGGTCAGCTAGGGTTTGGGTATGTCACCCACGCCCAGGAACCAGCTGGAGGAGACCCATCTTTATGTTTGTCTCTTTAGAGTAAAGGTCGTAGTGTGGGCATCTGCCACCCAGGGGAGTCTAACACCAGTTTACCATGATTCCATTCAGAGGAGACCTTGCACTTGCCTTTGTCTCCCCCCAGCCCCACTCAACCCTGAGCCCAATTCAAAGAAGCAGAACAGAAAAAGACAGAGAGACAAACAAGGCTCCCTTTCCTCTCTGCAGGTTTCTGAGCCAGGTCTGGCCAAGAGCTATAGGAGCAGAGAGAAGCTCTGCGTTGAATAAGAAACTCAAGTTTCTTCATTGGTCTAGGTAGAGGTATATTTTACAAATGGTAAAATTCACCCTTAATAAGGTTCAGTTCTATGGCTTTTCACAAACACATGCAGTTGTGTAACTACCACCACAGCCAGGATGTAAAACCTTTCCATCACCCTAAAACGTTCCCCTGCGCCCTTTGTGGTCAACTCCTTTCTCCGTCTTCAGCCCCATCAGTCACTGACCTGCTTTCTCCTATAGTTTTGCCTTTTCCAGAATGTCACGTAGATGAAATTGCACAGTGCGTAGCCTTTTGAGCCTGGGCTCTTTCATGTAGTACGATGCCCTTGAGATCCATCCATGTTTGTGAAAGTGTCAGAGGTTCCTTACTCTCACCGAGTAGCATTCCACTGAATGGATGGACCACTGTTTGTCTGACCACTCACCTACTGAAGAACATTTGGGTTGTTTCTGGGTTTTGCCCATTATAAAGCTGCTATAGACATTCACATACGGGATTTTGTGTGAACTCGAGTTTTTGCTTCTCTTGGGCAGATACCTAGGAGTGGGAGTGTTAGGTCAGATGGCAGGTGTATGTTTCACTTTCAAAGACACAAACTATTTTCCAAAGCTATCGTTCATTATTTAATTCCCATCGGCAACATATTATAAGAGTTCCAGTTGCTCAACATCCTCATCAATAGTTACTATTGTCATTTAATGGGAGTGCAGTAAGAGACTAAAGTTTTGTTTTGTTTTTAAATAGACTTTATTTTTCAGAGAAGTTTTAGGTTCACAGCAAAATTGAGGAGAAAGTACAGAATGTCCGTGTACTCCCATGTCCAAGTACTCCCTGCCTCCACACAGGCACGACCTCCCCCACCATCAATATCCCCCACGGGACTGGTCCATTTATTACAATCAATGAACCTACGTTGACACATCATTCTCAGCCAGAGTCTACAGGTCACATTAGGGATCACTCTTAGTATTGTACATTCTGCGGGGTTTGACATGTGGGGAATGACAGGTATCCACATTACACCATCATAAGGAATATTTTCACTGCCTTAAAAAGTCTCTGTGGTCTGCCTAAGCATTCCACTCTCCTTTAACCTCAGACAATGACTGACCTTTTTACTGTTGCCATAGTTTTGCCTTTCCCAGAATGTCAGGAAGTTGGAGTCATTCAGCATGCAGCCTTTTCATGTTGGCTTGTCTCACTTAGTAAGAGGCATGCAAGCTTCCTCCGTGTCTTTTCATGGCTTGATAGCTCATTTCTTTGTAGTGCTGAATGATATTCCGTTGTCTGGATGTACCACAGTTTATTTATCCATTCACCTACTGAAGGACATCTTGGTTGCTTCCAAGTTTTGGTAATTATGAATGAAGCTTCTGTGAACATCCATGTGTAGGTTTTTGTGTGAACATAAGTTTGCAACTCACTGGGTAAACACCAAGGAGTGAGACTGATGGATCAAATGGTAAGACTATGATTAGTGTTCTTAAAAAAATGCCAAATCGTCTTCCAAAGTGGCTATACCATTTTGCAATCCTACCAGCAATGAATGAGAATTCCTGTTTCTCCACATCCTTGTCAGCATTTTGATATCGTCAGTGTTTTGGATTTTTGCTATTCTACCACTAAGTGTGTAGTGGTATCTCATTATGCTTTTAATTTGCAACTTCCTAATAATGTATGATGCTTAGCATCTTTTTAGATGCTTATTTGTCATCTATATATCTTCTTTGGTGAGATATCTATTCAGGTCTTTTACCTATTTTTCAATTGGATTGTTTATTTTCTTATTGTTGAGTTTTAAGAGTTCTTTATATATTTTGGATAACAATCCTTTATTAGACATGTCTTTTGCAAATATTTTATCCTAGAGACTGAAGTTCTGATTTGGATTGGCCTGGATTTTTTTTAACTTTTAGTTTTGAAATAATTTCAAGCTTGCAGAAGAATCGCAGGGATGGTACAAAGAGCTCCCATATACCCTTCACCCACCTTCCCAACTGTTAGCAATTGTCAATTTTGCTTTGTCACTTTCTAGCTCTCTCTATATATGTACACCTGGTTTTCCTTAACCATCTGAGAGTAAGTTGCATACATCATTACCTCCAATATTTTAACATGTATTTCCTAAGAAAAAAGATATGTGGTCTTACATGACCACGCTACTTATCAAATTCATGAAATTTGACATTGACATAATGCTATTATCCAATCCTGAGGCCAGATCCACATTTCACTAAGTGCCCCTAATAGCATCTTTTATAGCAATGTTCCCCTCATATCCAAGGTCTGATCTAGGATCATGTATTTCATTTGGTTGCCATGTCTCTTTAATCTCCTTTAGTCTAAAATAATTCTTCAGTCTTTTATGACATTGATGCTTTTGATGAGTCTGGGCCAATTATTTTGGAGATTGTTTTTTAATTTGGGTTTGTCTAATGTTTCATCTGTTGGCTTCAGCTGTTTTGGTGGGAATCCCACTCCATAAGAGATAAGAAAAACCAAAGTGTTTTTCCTGCCCTCCCGCTTACGACGGAATTCTTCACCTCTGGTTACCAAAGTATGTGGGGATCTTTTCCCACCAACAACACATTCTTTTTGTTTTTCCCATGGGTAGTGCTTGATTTATTAGTATTAAAAAAACAGTTCTTATATGCAAAACAAGCTGATTTTTCTTTTTGAGGGTTAAAAGCACTCTTTAAAAAAATTAAAGCATAGATTACGTGGAATTGTTTTTCCTGGAAGCGCTGTAGTGAACAAATGACAATGACAATATCAAACGTGTTACAGCTTCTGACCCAGCAGAAGCTGACTGTGGATGTCAGGTGGCACGTGCCTGCATTTAGGTACAAAAGCAAATTACTGCTAAAACCTAAAGGGTACGTAATGTGTAGGCAACTCATTTGCATGTTAGAATATGACAAAATCATGCTGTTGAGCTGTAAAACTTGGGCACCTGATGACAGTTTGCTGGACAATCATGATGTAAACACTGTGACCCATCAGTGCCCAGCACTGCTCCTGTCTCTACAGCAGCCATGGGCACGGCAGTAGCCTCAGAGCAGAAGGCACAGGATGCCAAGACAGCACTGCTCAGCCTAAACCCCAAGGACCAGAGTCCACTGCCTATCACCAAGCCTTGGTGCAGGATAAGGGCCCTTCCCACCCCAGGGAGGGAGGCCCACAGAAAACCATCAAAAGCTTGGCTTTGTGCCAACAATAAATTCTTTTTCCATCGGGCACCAGCTGGGAATCCGATGATTCAGTTCTATTTTGACAGTACCTGCCTGGAGACAGTGACATATCCCACAGGTTGAGGACTCAGTCCCACAAGACTGCCCCCACTTCAGACATCAGTCCCAAGGCCTAGATAATGAGCTGTGCTTCTGACGGACTGGCTATAAACTGGGGCTCCCAAGGACACTTTATTTGGCAGACTCTTGTTTTAAACAATTGAAAATAAGACTCTTCATTGATATCTGACATACTCTCCCCAACACATACACACACACACACACACACACACACACACACACACACACACACCAAGCAGTAAGATCTGCTCAAGATAACATCATTAGGGAGGAAGGAGAGGAAAGCCAGAGAGAAAGATACTGTTCTCAGAAAAATAAAGCTATTACATGAGTCTGCCCACTGAGTCTAGCTTTTAACATGCATTAGAAAAAATAAATTAAAAAGACTGGATTGATGATATTCACCAAAAAATAAGAGTGGGAGAAAGATTTCAGGTGATTTATATTTTCTCCTTTGATTTATCCGGATAGTGGACTCACACCCAACAAGCATTTGATTCAGCCATGCCCCACCTCCAAACCCTGTCATCTCGCCCCACTTCCAAATAGATGTTGACCTTCGATGTTCCAGGGAAAAGGAGGTCACAGTCAAAACGTAAAGAAAATTAAACAATGTAATCTTTGTCTTTTGAATTTCTAATATTCCAGGTCATTCTACATAAGGGATTATCAAGGGCCACTTTTTACTATACGCAATTTTCCCCTGAAGATCCAATGCCACTGTATTTTCAGATTTTTTTATACAGTTAACTCATATTATCCATGAGTGAGAATGAAAAATTAATATTTAAAAAGGTGAAAAATCACCTGCTTCCATGAATTGACATTGCAAATTGTGAACCAGAAACCTCAGCAGGCTGGGGTGGGGCAGCTGGTTCCTTTGCTCTCTCACCAAAACTGTCAGCTGTCAGAGAGGGAAGGGGGGTGGGGTGATCTATATGTCACTGCAGACAGGATGAAAATTCTCAGCGTGGCATCTTTAGAAGGAGGAGGAGCTTGGAGGCAGGAACCTCAAAGGGGAAAATACCTCCACGTCAGTCATCAGGCTGGCATTTCTTCTTAAATGTCTCTTATCTTGTCTCCATCCTCAAACCCAACGGGACTCAAGCCTTCGTCATCTCTCACCGGAACTGTGGCCCCAGCAGAGACCTCCCCAGTGTCCCCATGTTTGGTCTATTCTGCAGCCGAGCAACCTTCTTCCCAGAGCCCTGCTATTGTCCTTTCCGTGTCTCCCCACAGCCCACTGCCTACCCAACTCAACGCATTCTCAAATCCCTGTACCCTGGCATCACATTTCCCCACCGTCTGGGCCCTCCCTACCTCTCCCCACTACCAGTGTCTACACCCCAGCCGACTGCAAGCCACTTAACCTTTCCCAGCCTGCTCTTCCCTGCCACATTCTGCACCTTTGCTCACGTCTGGAACCTGGAATGCCTTCGCTTGGCGGAGTTGCCTGTCCAGATCTGGCCCACCCTTGCAGGGCGAGCCTCAAAGCGAACTCATTCAGGAAGTCTCCAGCAAACCTGTCCTGAGTGACTCCCATGGCCCTGAAGATACAACAGGGAGAATGACACGGGCTCTGCCTCCAAGGAGTTCACAGTCCAGAGAGTAGAGAAATACAGACACATAACGCAGCAACCAAGGCTGGGTTAGAAGACAAGGACAGGAGAAGATATTTGTAGCAGAAGAACGAACCTGGCCCCTTTAGGTAACGTATTAGTTTGCTAGGGCTGTGGTAACAAGCCCACAAACTGGGTGCCTCACACAACAGAAACTGACTGCCTCGAGGTTCTGGAGGATGGAAGTCCAAGATCAAGGTGTCAGTGGGCCATGCTCCCTCAGCGGGCGCGAGGGGGACCCGCTGCAGCCTCTGTCCTGGCTCCTGGTAGTTCCTTGGCTTGTGACAGCGGAACTCCGGTCCTCACGTGGTGCTCTCCCTGTGTGCACGTCTGTCTCTGTGCCCCAGTTTCTCCCTTTGCATAAGGACCCCTGTCATTTGGATTAGGGCCCGCCCTCCTTTGGTATAGCCTCATCTTGACTCATTAGCATCTGCAACAACCCTATTTCTAAGCAAGATCACATTCAGAGGTGCTGAGGGTTGGGACTTCAACAGATAAATTTTGGAGGGACCAAACTCAACCGTAGCAGGTGGGGAGAGCACAGAAGGCAAGGCCGGGGATACGCGTGGAGGAGTGAAGCGGGGGCTGGGCTGCAGCTCGGCTGGCCCGCGTGAGAAAGGCAGCTGGGTCAGGAGAGCGATTTGGGGAGACAGAAGCAGCCCATGGGAATTTCGAAGCACAAGTTCTGCTGTGTGGTATGCGATGTCAGCTCTTCCCTTTGTGTTTCCACAAAGTCTGTCTCCACTCTGTGCAGCGCAGTGGGGGAGGGGCTGCTGGTGTGCGGGGACAGGGCACACCCGCGTTGCCCACAGCGGGCCAGGCTGCTGGGTAGCATAAGCGAAACCAGGGCAGCGGGGCCTGGAGGGGGGGGCAGCCGGCATCGCGAGGGACACAGCTAACTGCGTCCAGCATCAGGCTGGCATATGCGTTCCCTTCTGGGTGTACATTTGATCCTCATAAACACCTTACATGGTAGATATTGTCGTTCCTATGTTATAGCTGAGGACACTGTAGCTCAAGGGCGCTGTGACCTGCTCGAGGTCCCACAGCAGTAAAAGTGGGTTTGAACTCAGGAAGTCCGACAGCAAAGCCGTGTATCTCACACTCGGCTTTTAGAGGAGCCCAAACCAAGAGAGTGGCGGTGCCGGAGGGGCCGTTTGGAAATCGCCCGCTGCAGGGAGCTGTGCGTGGAGAAGCAGCAAAGGCCGATGGATTGAGCACACAGGGTTTGCTTTAGAGGTGCAGTTGGGGCGGGAGACCTGGGGCTCATCATGCAGTTTGGGCTCCACGTAAGCACAAAAGAGAAAGGCTTAGATCCGCATTTCTTGAAGGCACTCTGGCTGCCCGGTGGAGGGTGGGGCTTCCACCTGTGACCCCGGTCGGTCGTGCCCCTCCCTCCTGCCCTGTTGCTGCTGCCGAGCCAGAAGGCTTGTGTCAGGTGGCCCCATGGGTCCTGCAGCCCAGCAGGAGGGGCCTCTGCCTCTCCTCCTCCCTGGTCTCCAGCACCTTCCTCAGCCCCAGCCTCGGGGCGGGAGGCAGACAAGCCCGGGCCAGACCCCCAGCAGGACACTCTGGTTTGCAGACCCCAGCCTGTCCCAGGAGGTGGGGGCCCTGGCAGGGACGCAGTGCCAGCCCTCGGAAACCTCCCTCTCATTGTCTCCACAGCAGCAACGGCCCCAAGGCCCCAAAACAATTCCGGAGGCTCAAGGGGAAGCAGCTTTAGCCAAGTCTCTGCCCTATCTCAGGCGGCTGTGGATGGGGTGGGGGTGAGGCTGCCTACTAAGGACAGGGAGCCAGGCAGGGAGGCCAGGAAAGGTGGGGCTCAGAGTCCCAGCCGCGGTGCCTGCAGCGGCAGGACTCCAGCAGCAGACGGGGGTCACTCAGGGACTGACTTAGAGGACTATGCAGCTGTGGGCAGGAGTGGGCATCGACCCGGGGTGGGGCAGCGCCCAGACACCAGCAACAGCGGGAGCTCTTAGCACCCCTAGGCCTGCAGGGAGAGCCAGGCTGGTGCTGGGGCCACCCGACCTGTGACCTCAGCACGTGGCAGCTGCCAGACCAGGGCCAGGCAGGGAGGAGCAGGGGATGCTCCCACCCCTCTCTGCCTCTCGCTGACTGCCTGCCGCAGTGCCCCCTGGCCAAACCTAACGGCAAGGGAGGCATGGGCAGGAGGCAGCCTCCCAGGCACAGAGCAGCACGGGTCTGGGGGCGAAAGGACAACACCGTGTGGAGCCCCATTTCCTCATCTGTAGAGTGGGGTGATGACAGCTGCCTACGTGCCTGCCACATGGGCACGCAGCACTGCCTCCCATCCTCTGGTCTCCTCGCATATTTTACTCTGCAGCAAGCACCGCCCCACCCCCACCCCGGCAGGCCCTGCCACCGCACCTCGGATCCAGGGGCTTTCTCACACTTGGGCTGTGCTGCTTGTGAAGCTCCCCGGGTGGGAGGTTCGGAGTCTGAAGACCTGGGTTAAGGTCCTGGCTCCATCCCTTACCTTGGGTTAGTCTCTTTCCACATCTGAATCTCGATTTCCTCACCTATTAAGAAAAAGTCATCATACAAAATTTCATCTCTACTATTTTTACCCACACTTGTAGTATCCTTTCCCCATGTGCTTTGAGACTTCCCTGCAGCTCGGAGCTGCTTGCACTAATTCACAGGAACATGTAAGTGACTGGTGACACACATGAGCCTTCACAGCAGATGGACAGTAGTGAGCTTAGAGGGTGAGTCTTGATCATATCTGTTTCATTCGAATCTGGTACAATGTCCTCTCCCTGAGGGTGCAAGAGAAACATTTGTAGAATTGCTGAACTCTTGTCTTGTGTGTCTCCGTGTTCTGGGTGCCCGTGCAGAGGCTGGCAGACAGAAGGTGCGTGTGTGTGATCAGTACATGAAGGGATGACTGAATTCCTGGGGCCCAAAGGCCACATCTGAGTGTGGGGTTCCTGGCCCAGGGAGGCAGCTGCTCACGCCCAGGGGCCAGGACCTCTCCCCTTTCTGTATACAAGAAGTTAAGGCCTTGGCAACAGCTGCAGCCAGCTGGCACCAGGTCCCTCCAAGAGTCATTGTTTGGCCAAAACAGGAAGCCACCCGAGGGGAAGTGTGGCCTCGCCTCAGTGAACCCCTGAAGAATGGCCCCGAGAAACTGGGGGACGTGCTGGCAGGCACGGACTGTGCTGCAGCTGCACCTCCCCGCCCCAGGCCAGCCGATGGTCCTCACTCGACCCTGGGCCCTGGTGCAAAGGGACAGGGCCGCCAGCCACCAAGGGCCAGGTTGTCATTCTGTGTGACCTTGGGCAGCTCACCACTCATTTCTGGGTAGGACTCCTACCTGTTAACTGGTAAATTTAAACTATGCATTTGCAGTTGAGTGAATCCATGCCTGGCTGTTGTGTCGGTCCCTCTGGCTACCTGTTCCCTGTGGTGTTCCAGTGCTCAGTGCAGAGTAGGCCTGTGAAGTGAGCCCTTTTCTACCAGGAGAATGGAAGCCAGATGGTTCCATAGCACTTCTCAGTTAGCACTGTCTCCTTATTTCATTTGATCCCCAACAATTATGCCAAGAGGGGCCAAAGGTGAGGTTCATAGTCCCACATCACAGAAGAGGACACAGAAGCTCAAAGTCAGTATTCGAACCTACACCCCCAGCCTAGGATCCTACTGAGCCAGGCTTTGGCAGCCCCTGGGAAGCCTTGTGTGATGATTGAGACACGCACACCCAGGCTGGAGAGGCAGGACCTGGGAGACAGACAGCTGCTGGCGGGCCGGGCGGTGCAGAGACAGCGGCCCTGGCCTCAGGGACTAGGGTCAGGGGCTTGAGCCAGCAGCCTGAGGCCTGCTCTGGTTGTTTGTTGTGTGTTTGTTTTTCTCATCTCAGGCTCTGCACCTACCTGCTATGTGAGTCACGTGACTCACTCCACTTCTTTGTTCCTCAGAGTCCTCGCTGGTGGTCTGGAGGTGAGGCCTGTCCTGCCGACCCCAGGCTGTGCAGGCGTCTGTAGGCTGAGGGGGTCGCAGGCTCAGCACCGTGTGCACGCGGTGGCTGCCCGCCCAGCATCTAGTCTTCTCTCCCTTCTTCATAGAAGCCCAGTTCCGTTTGGATGTTCTCCCCGCTCGCAGGTTTAGCACTAGATCCCGATTAATCTAAGCCAATCAGCACGTGGCATTCCTGGAGAGAATGTCATTGGTTGGAAACATGACCCAAGTTGTCCCATTCAGACCAAAGTAAAGGACTTACCATCCCCGCTGGGAGAGAGGTCCTTGCTGTCTCCTGCGGGACATTCACAAGCGAGCAGGCGCCCCCATTGCCACTGGCAGCACCTTTCAACCTCAAGGAGGGAGACAGCAGTCGTGAGGCCGTAAGAGGGGCCAGCCGAGGACCGGCGAGAAGAGAAAAGGCTGCGTTCTTGACACCAGGAGCTGCTCTGGGCTTGCAGTGAGACGATGCACCCCTCATCTCACTTAGCCCGCCGGACGCAGGGGCTGCTACCTGCAGCCAAAGGCACCCTCACGGCCCTCATCTCGCAGTCTGATGCGCCCAGGGGAATGGAGCCCGCCCTTCCCCCACACTGACTCATGGGAGGGCAGTTGCGAAACCCCTGGGCGCCTTGCCAGAGCTGACAACTTGTTCGTGGCTTTTTGGAAGCTCTGCATTCTTTCCTCTCTGTTCCTCGAGCCAGAGACAATTCCTCCCTCCTCGCAGCTGGCCTCTGGCCTGGGTCCAGGTCACCCCACTGGCATTAATGCTGCAAGATTGATGGGGCAGGAAGACAGAGGGCCCAGACCCTGAACCCTCGGCCCCGGCTACTCCCTCTGCTCAGTCTCTGGCTGTTCCCCCTCTTCTTTCCCCCAAGGACCTCAGCTACTTTGCAGCTTTAGGATCACAGAGTTTTCAAAACACAGGGACCCTTGGAAACAACCTAGTGCAGCCTCCTTGGTGTACAAAAGTGGAAGCTGAGACCCAGATGTAGGCAAGAGACTGTTCCAGTCACACAGAGCTGGGCCTGGAACCCAGATATCTTGGGTCCTGGTCCAGGACTCTTCCCCACCCACTACAGGAAGGTCATAAATTGACATAATTTTTTGTGTTTTGAGTATCCACTGTGTCCCCAGTGTTTCTTGTCTTCATCCTCCTTTTCCATCTCCAAGGCCACTGCTCTGATTCAGGCATTGCAGTCTCTTGACTGGGTGGCAGCCTCTTTCTAAGTTTGTCCAGTTCCCATCTGCAGTCCTGCTGTCCCCCCCACCCCCCAGACAGCTGCCAGAGGGATTGTCCCCTGCTTCATGGCCTATCCTATGGGACAGGATTCAGGATCCCTCAGCTGACTTAGAGGGTCCCTTGTGACTGGCCACTGCCCAACCTCATCTGCTAAGACCTACCTCCCTGCTACTAAACTCAGTTGTTGCCTCCCTCAGGCAGCCTTCCCAGATGCCTCCAACTGTGAGTGGCACCATGTCTGCGTCTATCCTGGAGCCCTTCACAGGGTGGGAGGATCTGACCCGTGTCTGCCCCACGGCACCCCAAGTGCTTCTGAAGCACAGGCCACCGCTTGGCATCCCTTCGGGCCCTGCACCCTCCACCAGGTTTGACCTTCCCATGAGCAGTTTCCTCTTGTTGGTTCTGGGTTATCTACCCACAGCCCGGGGAAGGCAGTGTGCACAGAGGCGAATGGTAGGAGATTCCGATTCCTCATCCTGAATGGGCTCTGCATGCCCAGCTCTGCCCATCCTCTGATCCCACCTGGGTGCGAGTGTGTATCCACTGCAGATTACAGACGCTGAGAAGCAGGCCAGGCCCGGCTCTGCAAAGTCACGGGGGCAAAGCCTAACAAATGGTCCCCTCTGAACACGGCCAAGAAAAACCCCAAACTTGGAGCTCAGTCCTGAGATTCCAGGAGCTCTGCTTCCAGGAATCAATCCTAAGGGTGAAAAGTCCAGAATGTGAACAAAGACCAATGTGGTAGAATTTATTTATAATAGCAAAAGTCTGGAAACAATCTAGAAATGTAGCAGTAACAGAAAGGGTAGATACGTTAATGCATATTCAGATAGTGAAATATTGTACAGCCATTAAAATGATGTTTCCAAAGAGTTATTAACATGAAAAAGTGTTAAGTGAAAAAGAACAGAATACAAAACCATATATGTAGTGTGATTACAGCAGGAAAAAATGCATAAAATCTGGGAGGAAATATACAAAAATGCTAAAAAACGATGGACTTGGGTAGAAATATTAAAATTTTTCTTATGTTTAAACTTTCCTGTGCTTTCCAAGCTTTCTACCATGAATTTCATTTTTATCATCAGAAAAAAATTAGACACAGAAAAAAAGGAGATTAATTCTAGTTCCAACTCTGCTGATCATTGAACACATGACCTTGAAACTGCCCTTTTCAAAACTCCATTTCCTCACTGGTTTGTCCCTCAGTTCCCTCCTTCCTTCATTCTAGAAATCTCTCCTAAGGGCCTCCTCTGCCCCAGGCCTGGTGCTGGGCACTAGGGACCCAAAAGTCAATCCGAATTTAAACATGAAAAGATGTTTAACCTTGGTCTCAATCTGAGAAATGCCAGTTAAAAAGAAGCCAACATACCATTTCTCATCTATCAGATTGGCAAAAATCCAAACGTTTGACACCATACTCCGTTGTTAAGACTGTGGGAAAAGAAGTCCTCTCATACATTGTCTGGTGGGAAAACAAAATGGTGCAAGCACCACATGGAGGGGAACTTGGCAATTTGTAGCAAAACAACTTAACATGTTTTCCCTGTAACTGTGAAGTCTTGCTTCTAAGAATCTATCCCAAAGATAACACTGGCAAAAATACGCCACGGTGTATTCATAAACTATTCATGGCAGCACCATTTGTCATAGTAAAAAGCTAGAAACCACTCAAATACCCATCAGTAGGGGTTGCTTGATCAAACAATGGATGACTGCGGCTAGAAAACAGGAGGTGGAAGATCTACACGCCTTGAGGGCGTGGTCTCCAGGGTACAACATTAAGTGAAAAAGCAAAGTGGAATAAAAGGTACATGGTATATCATCATTTATCAAAGAAAGAAAAGGGAATGCACAAATACATGCATATTTTCTTTAATTAAAAAATCAGTTAAAAGATAAAAAATAAAATCAAAAAGGTATCTATTGGAGGAGGGAGAAAATATGGTGAAGGGAATGGAGGTAGCAGCCAGACTTCTCTGAATATACTTTATTTTGTAGATCAACGTTAGAGCCAGGTAAAAGCTTTACATAAAAATAAAACAAAATTAAATTTAAAAAAAAGGCCAGAGCAACCCCCCCCACCAAAATCAAATGCAAAACCAAGTAAATAAATCTGTGTATTGTGTTGGTGGCTTCACCAAGCAAAGTTGAATTATTTCAAGCGATTTAGAAACCTGGAAAATTGACTAGTAGGATATATATTCTAAGGACAAAAGAAATACAAATTGTTAAGTGTTTTCAGTAATCACATTGTTAGTAATACTATTGGTATTATTATTCTGAAATTTTTATCACGTATATATATAAATAGAAAGAGAGTAGAAGAAATGAATTGGTAATCATGTCGATCTTGTTAGGAAGCAAAATCTTCAGCATTAGACAAAAGAGACATAAATACAAAATCAAAGAACTTAAGTGAAAGCCCTATAACTAAAGGTTGTGTTTTTTTTTAAATCAATACAAACTCTTGATGCATATTTTCTTAAGAGAAAAATATTTCCAGGCTCTGCACCCTGAAAAAGTCTAGAAGCAAAGGCCAATCAAACAGCACTGAGCACCCCTAACACTCAGATTTGTGGTCTCTAAATATCATTCTCACTAAAAAGAACCAGTGCTTCCTGGAGAAACAGCTGATTCCCAGTCTGGGCAGAAAATGTACAAGACAAACGTGGATATCTTATTATACCAGAAGGTCGAGAAGTTATTAAACATTACTAGGGTCAGGCCAAAAGGACTCAAAAGCTAATTAAAGAGGTCCCCATGGACCCGAGATGGGGCAATTTGAGTGATAACAAAGCTAATAACTGCAGTGGATTAAAACCTACCGAATGCATTTAAAAATATGACAGAATGATACAAAAAAACAAAACCACCACCACCACCACCAACAACAACAAAATGCTTGCTTATCAACCTCTAGAGGATGTTAGGGAACCAACACACTGTTCTGGAAACTGATAAATAAAGGGGCAATCGCCACGCATTAATCCTACTTTCCTAAACAAACAGTACCTCAGAGAAACCAGAGAGTTGATGAGAGAAGTTTCTTTCTATAGAAGTATGCCAGCTAATAAATGAAGAAGAAATGATAAAATTAAAATATCACTGTTTTTCAAATCTCTGATGGGATGATAAATGTAGGCAATGATCATCAAAGGCATCTAAAAGCACAAAAAGAGAGACAACCGGCCGTTATGAACATGGTGTGTTTCCGAGGGAACCACGCACCTCTGTGAAGCATTCTCGCCAAAACTTTGAATCTGAAGCTAATCAGGTCTTTAGATCAAACTACCGATTTACAGGGAAGGTAGAGGACCTCGAAGAATGTGTTCAATAACACTGCGGGAGATACAGTCAGAGAAGTCCAGAACGAGGAAAAGTATACGGGACAACTTGGCTCATTCAACAAGTATGTTCTTAAAAAAATAAGAGAGGGAGGAGAAACCTGTAGATTGAAAGAGATTTAAGAGACTCAACAATCAAATGCAATGTATGGACCTTGTTTGTGTTCTGATTTAGAACAAATCTACTTTAAAAGACCTTTTACGAGACAATATGGGAAATTTAAACACTACTGGGTATTCAATGATAACAAATTATTAAAAATTTTAGGTAGGATAATGGTATTCTGGTCATGCTGTTATCTTTTGGAAATACATGCGGCAATATTTATGGATAAAATTGACTGATGTTTGGATTTGCTCCAGCGGGGGAGGATTAGAGGTATAAATGAAACAAGTGTGGTCTACCTTGGGGAGGGCCGAAGCTGGGTGAAGAACACGTGGCACTCTTTGTACTATTCTCTCTATTTTTGTCGGATGCTTAAAACTGTCCACAATAAAATGTCTGTGCTGCTCTGAAGAAGGTGACCTAGAGGCACAGGCCAAAGAGATCAGTTCCCTCCAAGGCTGGGGGGCAGGAGGCTGGGGAAGGGGACCGGAAGTGCTGGGCTCCCCTCAGGAGCGCACACAGCAGGAAAGTGCGAGCACAGGGAGGGGTCCCAGCAGAGGAAACAGTACAGCACGAGCAAATGCAAAAAAGGATGCATGGTCCAAGGACGGCAGGTAATCTGCACTGAGGGGCAAAGGGGCAGATTGGGGTGGCGGCTGAGAGGAAGGTGGGAACATCATGCAGAGTCCCGAAGGCCCAGCCAAGGAGCCCTGGAAGGGTTTCAGCTGGTGGGTGACACTGTGGGCCCTGTGTTTTAGCCTTGTCACCCAGGCAGCTGGACAGAGGATGGGTTGGAGGAAGAGGCCTGGATGCAGATGGGGAGATGCTCGCTATTCCCTGGGCCGGGCCTGGATAGGGGAG